TGCCTTCCATCTAGCCTTACACTGCTAAATTAGGGACGTCTAGCGCAGATAGCCCTCGTGTAACTTTGCGCGAAATTCAAAACAAAACCAAAATTAGCAGTATACATGAATTTGCTAAAAACAAAATACACTTAGGAAACTAAATGAAAATAATTAAACTAAAAATCACGTAACTAGTACCTGAGGTAAATTGTTTCAGCGAAAGTACACAATTGGTAAATAGGGAACATTTGCCAAGAATTAGAAAAACAAGAGGGAATCCTTAATAACAGCAGTACTTAAAATTCTTTAAAGTAGGATTAGAGTAAATTAATATATGAGACCTTTTTTTTTCTCCTTTTTATTAGCTATATTTTTGTGCGTGGGGTGCGTGTATGGCCAATTCAATTTTATTACTCATCGGAATCTCTACGAGCCTACCCTCAAATTGAAATTCTTTTAGACAGAATTAGAGTAAACTAATCTATGAGACCTTGGGTATGGTCAAATACATCAATTGAAAGGGTTTGACCTTCTGAGATCAACACTGTAATTATATCTCAAATTGGTCAAGAGATGACAGAGAAATGAGCTAAAAGTTTGTACTTGAAAAAAAAAACTGCCGTTCTATGAGCCGCTATACCGCGGCTAATAATGAAGGATATAGAAGAAAAATATTAACATTTTATCAGAAACTCATATCAATGATATTGTTACTCTCTGGTCGTTAGTTAATTTTCCGTATAATTTCTTTCCGAAAGTCCTTTCTTAAATAAAACTGGTTTATTCTTTCTAAATACAACTTTGCAATACACTTAATTTCCACAGTCGCGCTATAACAAACGCTATAATTCACAACGAACGCTCACGTGCTCGACTCAACTGTCAATTACACACTAGACTTAATATTATTTTTGCTCCCCTCCCCCAGTGCCACAGTGGTAAGTCTGTGGAGTTATAATGCTAGAAACCAGCTTTTGATACTCGTGGTGGACACAGCACAGATAGTTCATTGTATAACTTTGTGTTTAAATACAAACAAATATTATTTTCAACAAATAATTCAAAAGAACCTACCCACCAGTAGAATGTATACCAACATTGTCAGAAGTGGGATTATTATGGTGAAATAAAATAGAACTTTAACTAAACTTCAACTTGAATCATGAAGAGAGATTGAAACACTATTAGAAATGAAGAAACGATTGAAAGAATATCGGGAAGAGCTAAACATAATATTAAAAGAAGGTCAAGAAGAAAGAGACAAAAATTTAGAAAAATTAGAATAATATTTAAAGAATAATTATGAATAAGAATAAATCTGATTAAAGACAAAATTATTAACCTATTGGGGACATATAGTGGAATTACAACAAAAAGTTTGAAGAAGTGCAGAAGAACATCAACAAAGTACAGAAAGACTGTAATAACAAAATTTAAAATGTACAAAAAGAGTTCATTGTTGAAGAAAAACGTTTCTGGCAGAATCAAATGTCCGGAAAGCAAATTAGTAAATGCAATAATTAAATCAGCCATACCTCTTTTTTCATTTGCCCAAAAGTTCCAACTTAATACACCATAAAATAACAACTCCTTCCAAAGGATACAACAAAGAGGAAACTGTTGCAGGTGTAGGAAACTTATTCATTACAGCCAAGAATATTATAAATCAACAATACCTAAAAGATAAGCCTTTGAGCCTAACCAAGTCAAAGGAACAATAAGAAATAAAAAATAGGTATTATCTGTACTTATGGGTGTACTTTAGCTGAGAATAATCCATCTATCCCAAATGAGATAATAAGTTTGTTATTTAAAGAAACCAGTCCATGGATTTATTGATGGTTAGCCTTGCACTATGTTGATTGATGCTAGTTATACAGCTACAATAAGTTGATCTAATTTGGTAATATAATGAATTACTTATATTCATAACTAACGTACCAATGTTTAGATATTAGTCGATATTTTTCGAGCAAAATGCCATACACTCTCTAGTTAATGTATAAATTACAACATTAAAATATAACTTACAACACTTCTGGATTTTGAAGTCCCTTGAACACTTCTGATACATAAAATAACAAAACTACATAAGACTGTCCATTCAGTGTTTTGATGATTTTTCTCTTCCAAGACCCATAGTATATGGATGGGATGACATCTTGTTCGTTTTGTTGCTGGCTGTCCTACTGCTGAATGGAGTTCCTCCTTCTTAGGTGGTCAAGTAAATCCACTTCCAGCTCTCAACCTTGATGATCCTCCAGAAGTGGTTTAAAAAAGAGCTCCAGGCTTCTCACCAGGTTGAGTTTCCACTGACAAGTTATTCTCTGGTGTTACCCAGTTGGCTATTCTTTCAATGGCATACTTTCAAAGATGATGATGATAGATGATCATTGGTTTGGTTTCTCTATCCTTCTGGAGTCTTTAAATCACATCATTGATTCTTTTCAACATTGAATATAGCCCATCCCAGCATCTGCTGAACTTTGAAATTCATCATTTCTTGCAGTTGAGATTATACAGCCATATCATATCACCTTGGTGAAGTAAATCCAGTCTTATCAGCATTTATACATAGCAACATTTCATTTTATCACTAACTTATTTTAGTCTTTCTCAAATAAAGCCATGTATGACATCAATGGCGTTCTTATATTTCTATACATATCCTGTGTAGTTCCCCAGTGGGACAGCAATAAGTTTGCAACTCTAAATTACAGATATCAATTCCCTGTAGTGGGCACAGCAAATAGGCCAATGTAGCTTTCCTCTAAAACAAACGAACTGGCAAATACCCTTTGAATGACTGTTCTCCAAACAACAGTACAGAGGGTAGAATATACTTTCATTTTTCTCCCAAATATAAATTATAATCGTGTGTTGCTGGCAGCTTCATGTGCTACTGCATGATAACTTATAAGTAACAATGGAGGATCTTGATCCCATGTTACCTGACATTCATCCACATAATGGCTATTTGATTTAACAGTATCTCTTCATCATGCCATCAGAAGAAGGATGAAGGCTGTTGTCCTGATCTTTTTAATCCAAAGGATCCAATACATTTCTGTAAATAAGTCTGATTCAAAGTTACATCCTTCATCTGAGTGAAGTCCCATGGGCACACTAAATCTATTGACGAGTTTCTTTGCATAAGTCTCCGCCTTTTAGCTTGGAACAGCATATATATATTTGTTAAGATAGCCCAACACAAGTGTGCTGTATCTATTCTCATTGTTACTCGATGAAAGAGGACCAAGTACTTCAACAGCAACTCTTTCCAGTGGTGCTTCAATACAGTATTGTTACATTTGCTGTTCCTCTCATGAACCTCTCCACTCACACAAAGTTCCCATGTTTTACACAATTTCTTCACATTCTTCCAGTACCCAAGCCAATAGAACCATTATCTTACTACCTCCATTGTCTACTTAAAACCAAAGTATTCAGCCATTGGAAGGTTGTGGAGATGACAGAGTGCCTTAGAAAGTATAGAGTAAGGAAATATCAACCGTAGTAGTTGTTTGTGTCCAATGGTATCTTCCCATTTTCAACATAATAGCCTCTCTTGTAAAGATAAGTAATACCACTGTGCTCAATGCATCTTTGTTTTCAGGCTCTTTGGGGTGACTGTTTGCCATGAGGGTTTTCTGGCATTATTCTTCAGACACTGAATAACTGGTTTTAAACTCGTATCTCTTATATGAACAGCTGTAGATGATGTCTGTTTGTGATGTCACAAATGTTGTGACAGAGAATTACCTGTACATGGTGACGCCATCGTAAGAGAAACAATATGAGGTTTCTTACAAGATTTGTATTCTCACCAAGTTCTACCTTGTGTTTAGTTTTAGAGAGATTCATCTGTTGTTGATCTATTCATTGATCTAGGAGATGCGATCGTCCACTCTGTCTACCCAAGTACGCGAGCTATTTTTGTTATTGCATCTTAAATAGATAATGTTTCACTTAACACCAAACGTGTCCAGTCTGTTTATCTCTCATGCAGCTTAAACTTCAGTTGAGATTTCAAATCGAAATTATTCTAAAATTGCTTGTTCGACCCGTTTTTATAAGGCGGACCTATTTAATATTTGGGCGGAAACAATTTTTTCTGAGAAAATACCACAAAGTCATTTGTATTGCAGCTTCAAACTCGCAGATGATAGGATATTGCCTAAAATGTTGCCCAGTAAATTATATTTAATTAGATTTTTTTCTATACGGCGTTGACTGTTATATTTTCTATATTTAAAATTTTTAACTTTGCTTATTGTTTTTAGCTAACCAGGTAGCGCCTGAAATAAAACTCGATGATGTTTTACGTTTATCTCTAAATCGAAGTTAGACGTATAGAGTCTTAAGTGAAAAGCGTCTATTGATAAAAACTGGAAACACTAGTATGGTAATTGAATTTACTTGTGTAATGAGTTTGCTTTTGATAGCTGCGTTGGTTGTTTAATTTTGTCAGTATGTTAGAAATAGAAGTGTATTCTCGAACATTTTACTTATTTTGTATTTTATATTTTTGTGCGGTCTGTAGTGGTCTGTCACCCTTTCCAAAACTTCTAGTTGTTTCAACGGATGGTTTTCGACATGATTATTTACATCATGTTCCAACTCCAAATTTGCATCTTTTAATGAAGGAAGGGGTTCATGCCCCTTGGATGAAAAATGTTTTTGTTACCAAAACATTACCAAATCACTTTTCCATAATGACAGGATTGTATGCAGAGTCACATGGAATAGTTGGAAATGAGATGTTCGATCCTGTCCTGAATAAATCGTTTTCGGGTGAGAATACTCCAGAGTGGTGGGATAATGGACATGTCATGCCAATTTTGGTAAGGAAAGTTAATTTACTAAATTTAGTAGAGTTGGATGTGCTGTTGATTCGTTAGTCAGCCATTTCTCATGAGAGAAATCTAAAATTAGTAATATTCTATTCAAAAATATTTCTATCTTACAATATTTTAATACATGAATATTATTTTTAAGTAATCAAGTGAAACATTATTGTTACTGTTAGTTAAAGTAACTGTTATCGAGATTGACAATAAACCCTTCTGTTTCTAATTTTTCTCGTGATTAAGCACTGGAATTGCTTACAAGTTACATTGCAATGGGTTGCATAAGACTAAGAGAGAACAAAATGACAGTAGGCTATTCAATCCATTGGAGTCACTCTTTAATATCTTGCAAATGATCCAAACAAAAACAGTTAAAGTGAATTCATTGTAGTCCTTCACGTAAATATGCTTATCCTATTAAACTGTAGAATTCAAACTAGCAACATATATAAATATTACCATGTCATCATGCAAACCATTCTATATTTCTAAGAATTGTAATTTTTCAGAATAACAATACGTTATGAAGAAGTTAACAGAAGGCTAGTTGGTCTGTCAAGGTTACCCTTCAATCTATTAGAACAACTAAAACCTAAAAACATAATTAAAATTAATCACTTAGACTTTACAGATTATCCATGAAAAGTATGAAAAATTTTACTGCACACCAAAATACTAGGTAAACCATTTTACCAGTTTATAACAGAAAAATCATTTTATCAAAGAAACATTTTGCAACTAGTCCTCCAAAGTCTAAACTTGTTCTAATATTGAAGATCACATTTTCATCTTTTTTTATTCCACTTGTCTAATAGTTTACTTTAAAACAGTTTTCCTAAGTTCCTAACAATTTTTAACATGAATCAAGTTGCCTTTAGTTCTTTGATATTCAGGAGAAAATTAAGCCCAAACTTTTGAGCTTAAATTCTTAGTAGTCCTTCTCTGTACTCTTGGTAACATATTATTCTTCCTGTAGAGAAAAGACTAAAGCATAAACATTGTAGTCCAAATGATGTATCACCTGTCTGTAATGTTTACTGATGATCTGTAAACTTTCAGGAAGATATGCTTCCTGTATTAAAAGTTATAGTTTGAAAACTAACAAACACAAAATGGTTACAAGGTGGGTCCCTGGAACCAAGCTTATAGTGAGAGAGCTAACAGAGAAGGGAAATCACATTAGTGAAAGACATAGATATTTGTATTCTCCAGGGATGGAAGGTTCATGGCAAATATAAACCTGTATTTCTAATATGGTACTTACCTCCTTTCACAAAAAGCTTTCTTGACTTATACTACCATCTATCAGCACAAATGTTTGCTTATTACTAGCCTTGATATTCCCACTTACCCTCACATATGTTAACGTGAGATATCTACATACTAACATGCAAATGAATATGCAGCAACCTCCACCAATAGGAGTGTGACACTACCCCTATCATAACTAGTGCCCTCTATAATCTTGCAGCTGTTAACCACTTCTTGATTGGCAGTCTTATTGAATAGATGTGTTTTCACTTGTGGTTTGATTAACTTATCCTTAAATTTTTACTTTCTTAATTTTTCTACTTCAGTTGCATTGTTCTTTACCATTTTCATTCTCTTTCATTGAGAGTTACAAATTATTTTATTTATTTTCTCTCCTTTTTTAATTTTGAGAATTATGCATTTGAAGTTTCAAGTGGTCATGACTACAGCTGCTGTTGCTGCTGCAGTGGATTTACTGGTCATGTCCACCAGGTCAGAACCATGATTATTGGCCCATGAAGTGATGGTTCTAGTACTTTGGTTGTTGACAAATTTCATGCAACATTCAGAACAAACTGATGATTGTCCTTTCATTCCTGCTCCCTTTCTGGGGTTATGTGCTCAATTGGGTGTCCCAGATTTGGATGATTTTTCCACTCATCTTAATACACAACTTCCCCAATTGTGGTCTCTTGTTCCTCATCCTTTAGCTTGAGCAGTCAATGCTCTCAGTCAGGATTGAACAGGTTGGTACCTATATGCATATCCTTCTATTCGTCTCCTCCCACAGGCACTTTCCATAATTCAGTCCACTCTGTGTCATGTTCTGCTGATGGCTCCATATGGGCCAGCTCAAATGTGGTTTTCATTGCTGCGCCAGTTTTTGGTGTCACCCCTTCCTCTTCCTTTATCTCAGACACTCCTATATTAGCCCCACTCAGGTGTGTCATCCATCCATTCCCACACTCCGTATTTATGTACGGCTCTTGTCCAGTCTCTTGCCAGAAGGGACGGACTTTCGTAATGTGTAGCTTCTTTCATTTCCCATCCTGTTCATCCTTCGTCCATAGTGGTTTCCCAATGTAAGTGGTACATGTACCAGTGTTGGTCTATCACATCCTATTGTTCCCCACATAATGTCCATTTTAACTTGGCTTTTTTTACAGAAGCCTTTTGGTTTCCTCAGTTGCAGGCTATTGGGCAATGTTATCTGTCACATTTTGGTTTACCAAACTTACTTGTATTTTCCAGTTGCCAGTCTTATCCATGTTGCTTTGTTCCTTCCACATTTACCATCCTCTCTGCCCTGGTTCCCTCCATGATTGGAACTTCAGTGTGGTCCTCCATACTTTTACTCATCCAACCTTTGTCTTCATGTTCGTTATGTGACCTTTCCTTGAAGTTCCTGCTCATGTTGGTGTGCGGATGTTGTTGTTCATGATTGAAGTTCATCTTGTTTTGTTTCATCGTTCTAATGTTCTCCTCTTTCCTCATCATTTCTTTATACCCAGAATTTTGGTTGCTTGAGAGAGTAATTCTACCTTCACACTCATTTCCCTTCCCTTCATATCCCACCTTTATGACTGTTTCAATTCTAACCACCCCCTTTGCCTAGTCAGGGTTCTTGGATGGTATATGACATGCACTGCTCCCTTCTGTGGTTCCTGAGTCTGTTTGTTTATTCCATGGTATCCTAACCTCTCCTGTGATCTTTCTTCCATTACTCTTGTGGGTTGGATTAGCCAGTTAATTTGTCTGGTGTATTCTTCCCTTTTTCCTGATGATTGTCAACTTTTTCATGTTTCTTTCCATCAGATCTGTCACTTTACCATGACACTGGCTGCTCATTTCCATCTTCCTTGAAGAACATCATTATGCTGGTACATGGACCACTGCCCATTCCTTTACATCTCATTATCTCCATCATATGGCCACTTCCTGCTCCTACTTTCATTTTCTTTATCTTTTTTTGCATGTTTGGATCCCACTGTGGTGAGTGTTGCCTGATCAGGTGTACTTAGACTTAAAATCTTCACTGTAAGACCTGTTATCTTATGCCCAATTCAATGACCGTGACGTTGAGGCTCTTCTTATTTCCGATAGATACTTACTTCTTCTCGCATTGCCCATGCATCCTCCCCACTTCTGGTGTGGTTTGGTGTGATCTGCCCACTCTCGAAGTGGTTAACAGTTGCAAAATTAAAGAGGGCGCTAGTTATGAAAGGGGGATAGTGTTGCGCTCCTAATGGTGGAGGGTTGCTGCATAATCATTTGCCTGTTAGTATACAAACATCTCATGTTAACATACGTGAGGGTAAGTGAGAGTATCAAGGCTAGTGGCAAGCAAAAATTTGGGCATTATAAGTCGAAAAAGCTTTTTATGAAATAAGATAAGTAGCTATCGGAAATCAGTTTAAAAAAATGTTAACCTTAGGAAGGGTAGAAAATGTCTAAAAAAATCCAAGTGCATTGTTTACGTGCAAGTTTCCATAAAGTTGCATAGAAATAAAAGTTGGGACATTTTTTAATTTTACTTTGCAAATGACACTAAAATGTGTTACAAAATTACAAAATATGAATTCCAAAATGTTTTTAGGTAAATGTTACTATATATATATATAACATCATAAACTGCTATGCATGTTTTTAAGAATGTTATGCATTTCCAATAAAGTTTTAGAATGTACATTAACTGCAATTTCTGTAATTTTGCTTTAAACATTATTTAATGGCAACTGATATCACTGAGGTTTTATAATAAAGCACACACAATGTAATTGAGTGTACAGTGTGATGAAAAATATGGTCAAGTGAAAACTGACTAGATAGCTTCACAGCAATATTAATAGTCACCGACCAAATTTTGGTGATTAATTACCGTGATTGGGTATCATTTAATGATTTTATTTTATCACTACTGTAACACTGATGTATCAAACATTAAGACACAGATCTGATGATGATATATCTTAATTTAGTACACACAACTTTTGTATCGAAGAAAGGAAAAAATAATGTTCAAGCTAAGTAACATCCTTAGATCAAATATGCAAGATGTTACAAGTAAATGAAAAAGAAGCTGAGTACGTGATAATATTTTTATTCTCGAATGTATACCAGACTACAGAATATTTGCTGCTCAATGACTTGAAACTTGGAATTACAGTAATTTATTAATTCTCTCCATACTCTTTCTATTCTGCATCACAGTTGGCAAATCAGCTTGAAGATGGTTCTCGTGTTAGTGGAGAAATGATGTGGCCAGGAGGTGATTCACTGATTCGCAACATGAAACCTTTTTATAATGCTGCTTTTAATGCAAGTGTCTCCTTCAAAGAACGAGTTGATATTGTGATATCGTGGCTGATTAATGAAAAGTTTCCTGCTAATTGCATCTTTCTGTATTTTCAAGAACCTGATCATACTGGCCATATATTTGGACCTAACTCTCCTGAAATCAGAGAGAAGATAAAGCTTGTGGACAGTACCATTGGCTATTTGATAAAAAAACTTAAAGAAGCTCAGTTATATGAATTACTTAATCTTATAATATTAAGTGACCATGGAATGACTGAAGTAGCTGATGGGAATTTAATAGAAATGGATTCAATTTTAGATCCATCCTTGTACCATGTATCTAGTGGAAGCCCTGTTTGGAACATACGGCCAGTTGATGCTGGTGAGTTATAATTATTTTGTCAAGTTCAAAATATATATTGTTCTTGTCTGTAAAATATTGTTGCATGTAATATATGTGCACTGAAGTGATGTAAAACTTTTTGGGCAGGTTGATGTATTTTAAAGATATACTACATGTACTATAAATAATGCATTTGTAGTGTGGGTATTACTAGTATTTCAGTATGCCCATAAATGTAAAGAAACTGTCATGTACTTTCATCTAATACAAAGAACTGATATTGAATACTGCATTTTAACAGTCACAAGTATACAGTGTACATACTTTCAAAACATATAGAAATCTATTGTAACACAGCAGTGTTTTCATATGTTTTTCAATTAGACTTTAAAATATCTAGATTATAATACCAGTACCTCTATTTTTTTTTCTCCAACCAATACCCCCCTCTAGCTCTTATTTGACTTATTTTTGACAAAGTATTTCCAAAACTTCCTATACAACAGTGTATATGTATTTGGATAAAGTAATACATCAAAAAATAAATATACATTTATAGAATTCTTTATCATGTCATAGTCTTCAGAATTACTTCTCTGATACTTTATTTGCACCTGAACTTTAAACATATGCGACAGACCACAAATTTGGTTAAAGTGTCATTGTTTAATAGGTTTATTTTACAAAGTGTATTTTAATCTATGAAGAAATTATTGTTTTTGTCTTGGTCTTCATTTATGTTTATTTATTTTGCAGAAGTCCTATAGCTTCAGTAGTGTATATAATGGTTACAGTGTAACAAGTTACTGTATGAGTATCCTCACTTTAACATTACTTTTGGCTGTAATCAAAATAATATTAATAGCTCAAAAGCTTTGATCATCATAATAGATTTAACTTAGTCCTAAATTCATATACTAAACCAACAAAGTGAAATGACTTTCATAGATAAACTATTAAATTATTTAAAACTTCTTAACCAATAATACTAACAAAGTTAATTCTAATGAAAAAGCAATAGGTTATTACTTAAAAACACAAAATTGTTAGTTATTTGGATATAAAGTGTACACAGCCTTTCAATGCCTGGCACATGAGGACTACAGTAAGTGCACATCTAACATACTGTTAGTGTTATAAAAGTGACTAGCAAACACTGATAGTTAAAGCATGTTAGCTGCACAACTAGAAAATTATACCAGTGTTCTGTCATTAATTTCTTAGATAAGTCTGTTAAAAGGGTCAGCAAATCTCTGTATAATCCATCTGTACAAAGGTGGGTTACCAATGAAAACTGTGTAACTAATTAGTTAATGGTTTCTGGCACATTACAGTTTTGTAGTCAATATTAGGAAGAAAAGAAAGCCTAAAACTTGCTAATCTAGTGGTTATATCTCTGCATTGTAACAATGAAAGTTTGGTTGAGGAAGTTATGAAATGTGACACTTATAATTAAATTAGATTAAATAATGCAACAGTGACAAACTATAGAAGTTAGTTTCAGTTAAATCCTATATTAATATATGCAGTATTTCTTCATCTGTAAATTCCTCCCACACATTTTAAGCTAGACGGACCAAATTGGCAGACAGACTCGGAATGTCTTCTGTATGGCTTAGTCTTCTTAGCAATGAGGTATAAAATATGTATAGAAGGTCATCTAGCATGATGAAGATCCAGGAGTAAGTTTCATGCTCACTTAACCTAAATCTGGCATCAGTGTTGTTTCTGGCCACCCTCTAGATCTCAAGGATACTGTGTTCATATCCTCACTCACAAGCTAGCAGGATCAATTTTGATGTACGTCTTAAGGTACCACAGGCATGTGTTGTGGATTTGTTTTTAAGTGCTGATCCCCCTTGGGGGTAGCTTTAGAAGTAATTGGGAGTAAAGAAGGGATTTAATCAATACATTGTGGTTTTTCTGATTTATAAGGAACCTCATCATGGAGCATGTGTATTTTATGTGCACATGGTCAGATTTGAGATCTGACTGTTAGAAATAATAACCAAAGTAAAACCTTTAAAATTTGCCAAAAGATATATTTGAATATATAACTGATAACACTAATAGGATTACTTAATAAGTATTGAAATATCAACAGTTGTAAATACAACATTTAAAATGGGTGGTATAACCTCTAAAATATTATAGGCCATTCCTTATTCAGTTTACTCTCATGCTGTCAATAAACATTTAACTCAAAATTCTGAATGTTTTTTACACATTATATCACATGTTACTTGACCATAATTTTCCACTCTCCTATCTGCCATGTGACATAATGCAAATGCGTAAAGAGATCTTACTTGAAGCTAGTAATGAATATGTGCAATTTTTATGTAGAGCTTGTAGGTTGGAGGAGAAGTTGGATGCTATCATAATTAAAGTAGAGGCAATAGATAAAGAGAAGTGCAGACTGTGGGAAATGGCAGAAGGATTTCAGGAGAAGCTTAAGCTTTTACATGTAATGGATACATCAGCTAACAATGACTTTCAGTTTCAGGAAGTTAGAAAGAGTACTATTAGAGTAAAAGTATAGAATTTAGTTATAATGAGTCTATTCTGTTGAGCACCAAATTTCAGTGCTTGGCTTCTGCAGATGAGGAACTATTGGAGGGAAGGAAAACTTAAGAGTCAGAGAAGGATGTAGATGATAAGTAGGTTATAGTTATAGGTGATTTCTTGACAAGGCATGTGGATAGAATAGTCTGTGGGGTAAATATGGATAAAATAATCAGATTATGCTACCCAGGGGCAGAGGTGGAGGATATAACTGACAGAGCAGGAGATATAATAAAGGGGGCTAGCAGAGATGCAATTTTTGTGGTGCATGTAGAGGCTAATAATGTAGGGAAAGGTAGGTCAGAGGAGCTAATTAATAACAAGGGGTTGATAAAGGCATTTAAAGAAAAATGCCATAACTTAATTTTGTCAGGGATACTGCCCAGAACTAACTGTGGAGATGAAGTTATAAGTAGGGCAGTAGGGCTAAATGCTAGGCTTAGGTTAGTATGTAAGGATGAGCAGATTGGATGGTTGAACTTGTGGAATCAGTTCAGTGGAAGAAAGGAGCTTTTTGGAATGGATGGCTTACATTTAAATAAGATAGGGGCTAGCTTGTTTGCTAAGGCGATTAGCTCAGCTGCAAGGGAAGTTTTAAACTAGGACTAGATAGTGGTGAGGGCCAGGATAAACTAAATGCAAAAAGAATAAGAGGCAGAGAAAAGTTTAGCATAGGAAATTAGTATAGAAGTAGTTATAATGGTAGGCTTAATTGTTACTATTGTAATGCTAGAAGTATAATAAATAAAATAGATGACTTTGGAGCACTGGTAGGAATGGAGGATTTTGATAACTGAAACATGGTTAAATGTAGATGATTTTGATGACAGAAATTTCTTTGAAATACAAAGTTACAGGCCTTTTAATAGGGATACAGTATTATAGAGGGGGTGGGGGGATTTATATGTAAAATGTGGGTTACATCCAGTTGAAGTTGAGGATATCAAAGATAATAGCAAGGAGATTGAATCTATTTGGGTATCTATTAGTGGTTATAAAGGGAAAAGGCTTTTAGTGGGAATTTGTTACAGACCACCAAATGATACCAATGAAATTAGTGAGAAAATTTACAATGAGATTAAGATTTCAGCTGTTAATGAAGTAATAATTATAAGTGATTTTAATTTCAGGCATATAGATTGAGAAATTCTGAAGTGAAACCATGAGGAAGAAACAGTTCAGGATGGCTTTCTTCACCAATTAGTCAAGGAACCTACTAGAAACAATGCTATTTTAGAATTATTGTTAACTTCAAATATAGAAATGATTGAGAGGGTGGAAATTGAGAAACATCTAGGTGCAAGTGATCATTGTTCTATTAGGTTTGATGTTTTGCTGCATATGGAGATAAGAAATAATGTTAATTTGGTCACAAATTTCAAAAAAGCAAATTTTGAAGGAATGAAACAAGAATTACTTGTTGTGAATTGGGCAGCTGAGTTATTTGGAGACACTGATCAGATGTGGAAAATCTTTAAAGATAAATTTTTAATTATTCAATGTAAACATATTCCTTATAGAAAGAAAAAGGATGGCTTTTTAAATAAACCAGGTTGGCTAACAAAGAGTTTAAGAGATAAAATTAAAGAAAAGCATCACAAATTTAAGTAATTTAAATTGACTGGTATTACAGGAGAAGATTATATAAGATCAAGAAAGTTGGTGAAACAGGAAATCAAAAATGATTTTTGAGAAAAGGCTGAAAATGTAAAAATTAACAGTAAGGATTGCTTTAAATACATTAAGGGTAAACATAATATTAGGATGGGGTAGGACCCTTGAGGGATGATCAAGGAAGGCTAGTATCTGATGATTATGAGGTGGCTGGGTTATTAAATTTTGCTTTTCCTTCATTTTTTACTAACAGAGGTTTAAGCAGTATTCCACATCTTGAACAGTTGATAAATAGAAATGAGATCAAACAAGATGACTGCATTAATTCTGAGTTTGGGAAGTTTAAAAAACAAAAAGGCTCCTGGGCCAGATAATATTTCCCCAAGGGTTTGAAGGAGGTTAAAGATTGGATATGTGATCCACTTACTACTATCTTTTTGTCAGTCCTTGAATAGTAGACATATACCATCCAAACAGTGTGCTGTTGCTAGTGGTAGGGCAAATAGGATTTTAGGTTGTATCTACAGAAATATTGAATACAAGTCTAAAAAAGTTATAATTTCATTGTATAGTTCACTGGTTAGGCCACATTTGAAGTACTGTGTTCAGTCTTGGGCTCCTTACCTAAGAAAAGACATTGAATTATTGGAAAGGGCTCAGAAAAGGTTACTAGAATGGTACTGGGGATGGAGGGGTTGTCAGACGAAGAGAGGTTGAAATCTCTCAAATTGTTTTCTCTTGAAAAAAGAAAGATTAGAGGGATCTGAATGACGTGTTTAGGATTGTAAAGGGAATTGATAGTGTTGATGCACCATCATTTTTCATATTTAACAGTAAGAATAGTAGGACTAAGTGACACA